TTTTGATAGTGAAAATACTCTGATTTCAATTCTTAATAACGTCAAATATTTTCAAAACTAAAGCGTCGTCTACAATAACCGGCGTAAGCGTGGAGTAAGAAGTAAGAGTAGGAGTAACGCTTTTGGCGTACCTGAGTTTTCCTCCTGCGTTCTGATTAGTCGAGCGTAAGCGTAAGAGTAAGAGTAAGCGTAAGAAATAAAAATAATTCATTTCGCTTACGCCCTTACTCCAGCTCTCTTAAACCAGAAGTAGTTCTCTTACGCCTACTCTTACTTCTTACGCCAAGCTTACTCCACCTGTTGTAGACGACGCTTAAAAAATTCGTACCGACAGCACGAATACCTCAAGTTACATTTTATTATATTTTATTTCTTTAAAACGGTGCAGTAAAGACTATTGAAACTTGGTAGATATTTTCATGTATTCGTATACTAGATGTATAAAAAAAATTCAAAACACTGGTACTATTTCTTCTACATTTTTTTATCTGTTTTATCCGTGAAGATCGGCTTTTCCCATAAGAGTACGTGTAAAATCAGTGCAAATTAAAATAGTTATATCTCAGCAACCATTTAGTGGATGCATTTTTACTTTTCTGCAATAAATTAAAAAGACTAAAGGAACAATTTCACAAATTTTTAGCGACTTTGTACTATTTTGAAGATAGGTCCGATACATCCTTAAGGCGATCCTTAAATATAAGAATTGACTGCGAGCAAGCCGCTGAGTGCGCGCTATAGTTCAAGCAACCGAATTCGCTGCAAGCGTTTCAAAACTGTTGGGCGCAGTCCGCAAGGTGACATATGGCCGCGCGACAACGGTCCCCGAGTAATCGTTGGTCGTCGATCAAACCTCGTTAGACTCACCTGTCTCGCAGCCGACGCCTTTCCATCCCTGTATGCACACTTTGTCCCCGTTCTCGTCGCAGGTGTAATGGCCGAAAATGTCGTTTCTAGGTCGGCAGAATTTGGTGCAGGTCGCGTTGTAGTAATGATCGGCGCACTGGACCCGCACCCGATACGCCAGGTGAGCGTTTCTCCCTTGATGATTGAGAGTGTGCCACGTGGGTCCTGGCAAGACGATGCCGCTGTAACTCGCTTCCTCAATCACGCCGGCGCTCACCTCGTCCCTCGCCTGCAGGATCAACGTGAACTGCCTCTGCAACGGGATTTATCAAAAGTTAAAACAATCCTTCGCAAAAGCCGCGGAGCGGCTGGTGGTCGGTGAAAAAAAATATCAAAAAGCGTTCGGTTTAAAAGCTGTCTCGTTGCTTTCATTAATTTGCATTTCTCTCTGCTTCGTCGATTTTAATCGTAGAAATATTACTTTGCTTCCTTCCCGGTAAAATAATTAAAAAATATATATATATCCTTATGAAAAAGAACGCGCGTATATCACGGATCGAGGTCATCTCTTACATTTTGACAGATCTATCCGGATCCTCGTCTACGACCCAGCATTGCCGTGACGCAACAGAGTCGGATTAAATACAGAACGGTGATGTCACGGACGACAAGGGCTCATTTGAAAGAGGAAGGGAGGTGGTTTGATGAAGGCAGCAATTAACCCTTGCCCAGCTTGAATAATTCCTCGCCAGGCACGGCTCTAAGTGGGACCTTCGGAGCCTGGTGCTTTTGCAAATTTATACAGCGTCTGCTGACCTTTGGGGGCGGTTTAAATTATATGATAGTGTAGGGTTACCAATTTCAGGACTACGGCTTATATAACCGAGAGTTACACGAAAGCGCATTCGTCGTGCGAAACTATGCGGCGGGAAACGACTTCCGGTGTGTGAGCGCGGGACGGTGTAAAACGTATTGATTCCGACGTGATGTAAATCCGATAACGAGACGCCGAGGCGCGTGTGTCATCTCCCCTGTCTCCGCGCCGCCGTGCAAAGTGCGTTACACAAATTGCCGTGTTTCGTAAATTATACGATGGTCAACGATTTACATGTTACGCGACACTTAAGTGGATAAACTCAGCGCGAGGCACCGTGGCTAGGGCTCGGATATTACCGTAAGCCCTGCTGTAATGATTAGCGATACACTGATAATGCCCACGTGATGATGCAAAACCGAGAGAATAGCCGTTAATCAGGATAATTACCACGCCGTTTGCGCGAGTATCGACATGACAGTTTCGTCCTTTATGCCGGCGGCTTATCTCCGCCGGCGCGTTGCGCCGTTCGCCAAAGGGGAGCCCGATTGGTACCACCAATCAAGGGCCGTGAGTGAGCGACGGTCGGCTAATGCAATAAATAAATTCGAATCGTGCTGCCGCGCGCGGAAGACGCGACTGTCCGCTTCTCCGTGTAGCCGGCGCGCTGGCACCCGACGGGGTTATACGGGAGTCGGGCCGCCGCGATGCGATGCGATGGTAGAAAGCTGGAAGTGTTCCTCTCTGATGGAACCGGTCCCGGCGAAAAAAAGATCAGCGCGCATTGGCGTCTCGCGCGCGCGCTCGCGCACACTCGCAAGCGCGCCTGCATCGGTATAATGAACTTGACGATCCTCGGAAATTAGACAATGAACGCCACAGTCTCTCGACCTCGGTGTTCGTCAAGTAATAACTGTGAAAACCGCGTGACTTGTCCGCATTTTCGAGTACGTCGACGAGTTAATATTATTGTACATGACATTTGTCTAAGAAATGCATCTTTGTAGATAAATTGCCGTCAAGATTGACGTTGAAATTAGGAAGATTTCGGATAACGGAACGCGATCTGACTGGTCCAGGCGATTCGTTCCCAAGAATTGCAATCTAAATCAACGGTGATCCGTTTCAGCTAGCGATTGATTTATCTCTTGCGCAAGTATCAAGTGACCCATTCTTATGGCCTGCGTCCACGATGCTAGAACTTGGTGTCCAAGTTCTAGTCCCGAGAAATGTGTGGCCGATCAACTTGCAGCTTTATGGAATAGCTGCAAGTTGATTGGCTAAATATTTCTCGAAACTAGAACTGGGTCCAATCTCTAGCTTCGAGAAATGCGTAGCCAATCAACTTGCAGCTCTTATGGAATGGCTGCAAGTTGATTGACTACATATTTCTCGAGACTAGAACTTGGACACAGTTCCTGAATCGTAGACACAAGGCATAAAGGCCTGTGTCCACGATGCTAGGAGCTCGGTCCAAGTTCTAGTTCCGAGAAATGCGTAGCCAATCAACCTGGATCTTTTATGGAAAAGCTGCAAGTTGATTGACTACATATTTCTCGAAACTGGAACTTGGTCCAAGCTCTAGTTCCGAGAAATGTATAGCCGATCAACTTGCAGCTCTTATGGAATGGCTGCAAGTTGATTGACTACATACAATATTTCTCGAGACTAGAACTTGGACACAGTTCTTGAATCGTGGACACAAGGCTTAAAGGCTTGGACCAAGTTCTAGCATCGTGGACACTGTTCTTTAAAAAATATCGCATATGATATGTAACGAATGTCATGAGCAAATATTGTACTTAATATTCTAGCGGCATTCGTGAAATATCGTATCTTTTCTTGAGAAGGAGACCTCGGTTACTTCTTGCCGACCAATTGTGATGCACAGTTATTTCCGCGCTGGTGATTTAACTACTAATGCCCGTCTCTACCAATGCTCAGGAATCGGGAAAAGATAAAAACTTAGTTAAACAGGGATTTAAATTAATCCGCATTGGTAGAAACGGTGCATTAGTCGCGGACTTGCAGTGTTACGAGTCCTTCTCGTTCGAAATTGTTATGCATCCCAGATAGCACAGTGAATTCGCAAAGTATTCTTCAAGTTGCCTGCCTTTCTGAATTGTAATTCTCCCGGAATTCATAGAAGAGTACAATAAGAATGATTGGGGAAGCTGCATGCATCATAATGAACTTCTAACGAATACTTCAAGACGAACCGATTGCGGCCGATTCCTCAAGAATTCTTCAGTTTTCTAATTCCGCGGGTATTTTCTTTCAAATGAATACGAGCTTACGTTTACCTTCGCGCTATCTGGGATCGCACCGATCGATTAGCGAGCGAGTTACTTTCGCGCGCTCGAAGGGTTTAGAAAATTACATTGAACTAACGGGTGTTAAAATCCATCGAAAAACGGAACAACGACTATCAAGTACGTTGCTCTTATTTGGGCGGTAGTTCGGTCACGGTTAGACAGGTTGTCCGAGGTTTTACAATAAGTTTTCGGACTATTCGTACACAGCATTTCTTTGCTCTAATAATACGCCACTGCACATACCCGTGAGTAAAAGTATAATAAAGTGGAGAAACAGACGCGGAAGATGTCATCTTTACACTGTTATCGCGACAAATATTACCGAATGCCTCAGTGATCGAATTGGTGAGACGCCCGCTTAGAGAGTCCAGGCTCAAACCCCGGCTGAGGTAACATTTTTCGCAATCAATTTTCTGTATCAAAATACCGGCCGTCGTCGACTAAAGAGCTTGATTATTAGAAGCTACGATCTCTCGCGTGACAGACTGCGTTTCCGAAATTTTATCATAAAACGTCGGACGGCCTGTCTGACTGTATATACCCGATGATGCAATCTTTGCAGTACAAAGAGCATGTTGTGGCCAATCCGCGGCGAGTCAGACGTCTCGCGCTAAACGTAAAGTCAGCTCCGCTCGCTGGCAGTACCTAGAGCAGATGAGCGCTAATTGGTGTTAATTGGTGGCTCGCTCGAGGACCGGCTTTCCCACGCCCGCGACTTTCGTGCTCGCCTTTTTTTTTACACCTCGTATAGATAGATACATATGTATATAAAGATATAATATACATATATATATTCTAATGCGGTCGGTTGGCCGGCCGTCGCGCCTGCTTCCCCGTGAAAAGAAGTTCCTTTGTGCTCGAACGTCGTGACGCTTCCTTTGTCGCGCCGCTCCTATTCCTTCACGACGAGTTCGTCACAATTGAGACGTAAACGGTTTAAGGTTAAGGTCGGAGGAAGTGTCCAATATCGTGTCAGATTTTTCGAGCTACAGCCGGCGCGCGGAGCGTCGGATTCGTTGCGCGTAAATCTTTCATTAAGGGGATGCTGGAG